ACGTTGTCAAAGTAGCTTGTCGGATAAACAAACTATATATACACTAGAAAATTGTAAAAAATAAATCAGATATAGTGAAGTATTCAAATTAAGTTTACAGCCAAAAATGCATATATATTCCTACAATACTAAAACATATATAACACATATATTGTAATCGGTATTGTTGTGTATAAATATATGACCATTGAAATGTGAGTGATTAATGCTTCTTTATGAACATTCCCCGACACGTACTTAAACCATATAACTATAATTTCAAATCGTACATCGATTTTTATTATGCTCAGCCCCTCTATTTTCTTAAAAACGAAAAAATCTAAAAAAAAACAAAAAAAAAACGACAGCAGATATAAATTACAAAAAAAGTACATAGTATAACGATTTTGTTCGTAGTTTAAGTTAAAACGTAGTTATAAAACATTTCATAGTTCTCTCACATCAGTTTTGTACATTTGTATAATTGAAATAATGACTCATTATACAGAGTGTTTTAAAAACAAAAATTAGATGTTGATGTTTTAATTGTACTGGTATGCACAATATTTGTAACTAAATTATCCCCATCGAGAAATTTTTAAGTAAAATTCTTTAATTGAAAATAGATTATGATAGCATTAAATAAGTCTTCATTATTCAAGGTGTAAAAAGTGTATAACTAAACAAATTTCAATGAGTTGAGGTTGAAATATTAATAATAATTATAATAATGATATACAACATTTATATAGCGCTCTATATAATTTGTAAAATTACTCAAAAGCGCTTTACAAAATATGGATAATAGTTTTAGTTATAAAAAAATATAAATATTTTTTTTATTTATTTTACAGCAATTATGAAACAAGTTATCTAAACTTATATTAATCATTCTTGTTGGACTGGAAGTTAGCGCTAAAAGTATTAGTTATGATTGTGAATAAAAAACAAAGGCTTACAATCACTTTAATACATTTAAGCCAGCAGATAATCGTCGCAATGTGCACATAAATACACAAATAAATGGTGGTATTTATATGACGTCTTTGCAAAGATCCTAAAATGCAGACGTGAAGAGGTGAGTTTTGATGTACCTCTTAAATTTGGCCATGGTAGCGTTCATTTGTTTCTCCATGTTCAGTGAAATATCAAAATATACCCCTAGGTTTTTAACAGCGGGGACAGTCTCAATAGTTCTTGCACCGACCTTGAGCTAGAGAGCCATTGTTTGATGACACTTTGGGGAAAAGACGATTAGTTCCGACTTTTTCCCCATTAAGCTTTAGCGTGTTGGCGTTCAACCAGGTACTGATATCTGTCAGACAAGCTTCCAGATTTTCTGAAATTGTATCCCAACTGTCCTGTGGTTTGATAACCATGTAAAGTTGTGTGTCATCAGCATAGCAGTGATAGCGAAGGCTATGGCGACGATAAATCTCCCCAATCGGTTTGGAGTACAGGCAATATTTTGTGGTCCTAACACAGACCCTTGATGAACCCCGAAATCTAGTACTTTGTCATGTGAGGTGGCAGATCCGATGGCAACACACTGTCGTCGTTCACTCAGATAAGATTGTATCCAGCATAGTGCGGTATCAGTCACCCCATATGAGTACATCAGACTTTTATAAAGTATGCCATGGTCGATGACGTCAAATGCAGCTGACAAGTCAAGCATGACAAGCACCGCTCTGCACTTGTTATCCAATGCGGAAGCTATGTCATTATGTACATGTAGGAGGGCCGTCTCAGTAGAGTGTCCCATGCGGTAGGCCGATTGCATGTTGTCATGGAGACTGTTTCCATATGCCGATAATGGATACATTCAATAAGCAGAGAACATAACCATTTTTCAATTTATCAATTTTCCGAAATGTTTGACCTGATTCAATAAACATCAGACATTACGTATAACGGGAAATTTTCTCTGCGGTTCAGTTTTCGCCTTTTTCGCCTTTTTCGCCTATTTCGCCTTTTCCGCCCCTTCCCCATATGAGGGCGACTTTATCATTACAGCGAACAAACAGCATATTAGATATATTGATAAAATGTGAAAGGCAAAAGTTTGACAGGGCGAATATAAATTTTACCGACAAAGGGCAAACATAATTTGACTGGGTAAAAAATTCCCGGTATACAGTATACATAAAGCGGCAGAATATGTCAGTGAGAATACAAGTTGGCCGTGCCAACTACAGACCTGTGTATTTTAACAGGAGAACACTGATACATTGTAGGCATAAATTAAACACACAACAGGGGGTCTAATGGACTACAGGTTCCCTCTGTAGTCTCAACGTAGTGGTGATCATTAGTGTAACCTTTTGTTCCATAGCTTACTTTTATTCTTTTATAGGGAATGTGTGTGGGCAACTCTTATATAGAAATAGTCTATGTTCAAAAATTCGTCTCAGATATGATTTTTTATATACATATTATATTTAAGAAGAGAGCAAATGCATTAATATAAAAATTATTAGAAAATTATTAATATATCTATACATGTATATCACTTATTCTTTTGTTCTTAATATTTCAAGTGATTAAATAATTAAACATACATATTCTTTGAGATATGAATGATTTTATAGGTTTAAACATGCATTTGACAAAATCATTGTTTTATTCAAAAACATGTTAATAGCTCATACATAAATATAGCATGCATGAATATAATGCGGAACAGCAAGAGACAATATAACTTCTGTTTAAACGGCCAGCAAAGTAGCATAATTCGGTATCATATTGGACAAAACATCAAATAGCAGAAGAAGTGATATGTACAAAATTTTATGATTTGTCTGTTTTGTGACATTCGATAAGCTGACATGACGCTTGCTTTGTGGCAACTTTTTCCCGCTGAACGAATATTTGCCTCGTTTTCACGAATATTTGTCAAAAAGAACATTCTTATCAAAGGAATTTTTTTTAGTTTGTAATCAGGTCCTATGTTTGTTCAAACCTTTCCTTCGCATAATTTTGTTAATACCAGATAAAATGATAATGTCATTACTATAACGGACTTGCGTCACTATTTCACTCCGATATACATGTATATAGGGATATGAAAGCATAGGACGGATATGCAATTTTCATTCATTCATTCATTAAGTTAATTCTTTGTTTCGTTTGTTGATGAATTTATTTGATTGTTTAATTATCAACCTACCTAAAGGCAACTGAAATACAACGGATTGAAATATATTCAAAGTATTCCGATCTTCAACTACGTGACCTAAAAAAGTTAGCTAACAGAGTGTCTCCCTTGTAGCATAAATATAGTGTTTACATTAAATTGGTCACCCTAATTGCTACATATTAAGTTTTCTTTGTTTGGCACTGGGTATTTTTTTTCAAACTTACACTTGAATTATTATATTTGAATAATGATTAGGTTGTTTCTTTATCAGAACAGTCTGGTTGTTTACATTGCACTGAAACTGTTTTGCACTACCAAAAATAGAAAAAATATAATTATGAGCCAAAATGTTCAAAAGTCTCCAAACGTGTTTTATTTTTAGTTTATTTGTATCAAAGCGGGATTCTTTGAAATGGCAATGCAAACATGTGCGATGTTATGTATCTATGGAATTGTTTTGTTTTAAAGCATACATTACTTCCTATTGGTGATACGTTTATGTCAAAATCTATCTCTGTCAAGCTTCAACAAAAGATAAAAATAAAAATAAAAACAAAAGGTTCACAGGCAGCAGACAATACACAAAACAAAAACAACACAAAATAAAAAAATAACACAAAATGACCTGAAAGTCTTAGATTCCGAATTGCGATTTTTTTATACGTTTTTGAGCACATAATAAATTACATATATGACATAAACACTGCTCATATATATCTAGCTACAGAAGATATATTACAAGGACACACTACGAAATCTATAATAAAGTATTTATAACATGGCTAAATAGCTTAGGAATTGAATTGTGGAAAATGGCATGTTACACAAACGCCTGACGGGGTATTTCGGTACAGTATACCACAGTGTCATGCATGTAACATATCATTTCCTGTCATTATAGTATTAACTCAAGTGTCATTATTATTTAAATTGAAAAATGTTGACGTCAAAACGGTTTGATTATCTCGGCATTTTTATTTAGGATATATTTTCATAATGGATTTTTATGATTAGACGGTTCTATTTTCTTTTTATTAGTAAAATATATCCATCCATTGTAAAACATTAAAAAAGATAAAAGCGTTAGGTAGGTCTGATCTCTGTTTTTCTCGTTTTCTACATCAATGTTTTTCATCACCACAATTGCATTTGAAATGTTGTATTTTGAATGATATTTGTCCAGTTATTATTTGCTTACTGTCAAAAAGCGTAGATCAAAACACCCATCCCGATCCTAACAATACAGCCAGATTTAGACTTTTTTTTACATATTGTTGAATGACTCATCCTTCATGAACATATCACTGATGACAGGGTTCAGGCGACGAGAAACGAAAAACAAATGCACCCTAGATGTTATTATTTGAAAACATGTTTAAAAATGCTAATAATTAGTACAAAAGATCTCGATATGGGTACTGACAATTTAAATACTAAAACGAACCCATTTCTTGATCGGTAAGACATGTTCAAAACAAAGCTTTTTTCTTGACCGATTTATATTATTGTACAATAGTAATATGTTAGTGCATAATGCGGTAGCGCATTACAACAATTCATACGCCATGCAATAATAAGGTCTGGTCGATTAGTATTTGCTAAGCACACGGCTTATTATTCTCTGTTTGTCTACAACAATCAACTTTTGTCCGGTCTCTACTTGTCTGGTCAGTTATATGGACGATATCTGTGTGACATGCGTATATCTAAATCATCATATGCAGTTACAATTTAGTTTAATGTCATTGACGTTTGATATATTTAGTGCCCTTGATCTTTTTCTCAAATAAATTCCTGAATTGTTAGATCTAGCAGTCATTTCACAGTAGCTAGTTAGTGACAAAATAATAACAATAAGAGCGAAAAATTAAAGCTTCTTTACCTGTACCGTCCGTCGGTAAGGCCCAGTGTGTCAGCCACAGACAGACTATCACGGGTGGCCGATGAATAAGGACAGGGGGTTTGCCGACATAATATACTCTGCATTATATGTCAGACGTAAACGAGGTCAACAGGAGCGTTCCGACTACCCTTAGTGGTTACCTGGTAAAACACCAAGGGTATTCCCGAATTTAACATCTGCAATTTCATTGGATAATGATTTAAAAGGCCCATTCATTGTAGAAACATTCAGCCATTCGACATACCGACCTCGATTGCGGGTAACACAGTTAGTTATACCGACAACACTGTACATGTATATCGGTGAGCTTCGTATACTGTATTACTATATATATTTGTAAACAAGGCTCACGTGGGGCATACATTTCTCGTTATAAATAGACTGGAAATAACCTAGGTATAATTATGTACTTTTGACAAGGTTATATTTTGACGTCTGACTTACCTGTTAAAGAAGCATGGTATAATATATACTTTTGACAAGGTTATATTTTGACGTCTGACTTACCTGTTAAAGAAGCATGTGTATATATACAATAATTACTATGAGTACATGTTAAATGGGGTATGTCTACAGTGTTGTTTAACGTTGTTTATGATTTGGGACAGTATGCTGATGATGTTGTAATAACGTGTGCCCTATCAAATTGTTGTAGTATATGGCTTAAAAATAAAGCTCAGCTTACAGATTGGATCAAGTCCCAAGCCAACATCCCTTCTGCTCTCAAGACACTTAAAATATTATATCCCATCTAATCACTTGATAATCTTTATTTCGTATCGATTGCTTTTATTTTCTTAAACTCTTATATGTAGTAAATCTATCATACCCAAAATTATGTGCTGGCTTTTAGTAGTCAAATACACGATTTTTTAAGACTCTACTATTTAAGATACTTGTAGATACATGTAGCTATACACTGTGGAAACTCGTGTAAGTCATTTTTGTTTTAATTTCTTCAACCCTGACTACATAAAAACTTCTTTTAAAACAATTTTTTATATACTCAGGGTGAAAAAACCCCAACCTATTTTGGTTACAAGAAATATGTCATGTAGGCCTATTTTTTGTTATAATTAAATATCATTTCTTAACTGAGGCTGCGGGAATCATCACACATAATTTAGGTAGAATGGGAAGCTAAAATAGTCCCATACGTCCATAAATTCGTTGCAGTATAAAGTACTCTACCACTGAAAACTTATGCTTTTCTGCAATGGACAATCAGTTGTACTCTAATATAAGGTCATTTCTTTAGAGCAGATACAATTTTCGTCCCAATATGAAAAGAAAACTCAAGGAAAGGTTATGTATAAGGGAAATGTTATAACAAACCCCAAATATTATTAACTTTTACATTACATAAGTGATATGGTAGCACTTTTCTAAATGCTGTTATTTTTCTCGTTCTACTCGTTAAAGTACAAATCCATTACATATTTTGCATAAAGTTTTAACACCACTTATAGTGGCATATTATCGCATCGCTAAAGAGTATCAGGATTTGAGCTGGCATTGCAGAGCTGTGGGGAGTTTGCCAAAAGTCTAAAAAAAACTTATAACCACAACTGTAGTTATTTTAAGGAGAAAATTGCTCACTTTTTTAGAGTTCAATTTCATCAAAATTACGGTCAAATACTGGTGAACTCTCTTCATTTATATGACAGTTGATTATGTTGTAAATAAGTCTGACTGTCATTTTAAGTGTTGCTAAGATAAACTATTCACGTGGTACTGACATAGCCGGTGAAGCTTGACTGACCAAAAGTTATCCACTTTAAAGATTTTATCTCCTGGATTTGATTTAGCAATTTAATAAGGGATTTATCCAGCAATGCAGTAGTCGTATTTGCTTTGATTTCTGCTGAAAAATTGCATTGTTAACTTAACAAAATTTAACTCTTAAACATATGATCACATGATCATATTGTCCTGGAAATATGACATGAAGTATCCGACATATTTAATATCAGGGAAAGTTCATCTACACGTGGACACAACTTTAAACTTTACAAATCGCGTTCAAGATTAAATATAAGAAAATGTCCTTGTACACAGAGAACTGTTGATGTATGGAACAATCATCCGTCTAACGTTGTGAATTCAAACTAGATGAACAAAACCAAGCGCAGGAATACAGTTTTAAAGAAAAAAATCGAAATTTAATCATTGCAACTTTTGAAATGTGTTTTTTTTTTTTTTTTTTTAATTTCAGAGCTGACTGTTTAAGGATTGTAAAATCCTAATTTTGTCGGAATAAATCTATGTATCTATGTATGATTATTTTAATTACAGTAAGCTCGAGGTAGAGGGTAGTCCAGAAATAGCAAATCTTTACCACAGCGCGGAAAACCCTTTAGCACTTTTATCTCTTTCCGAAACCCCGTCCATCTCAAATTACTATGGAGTACATTGTCCTGACCCTATGCTGTAGTACAAATAAAGTCATGGAGCGGGCTCATCATATGACAAACACTAAAATATTTCCTCAAGAAATCGAGATTTTACGATTGATGATAGGTTTTATATGATTTATGATAACATAGTTTTCCTTACTCGTTTGTTAACTCTAAGAGCCGTTTAAAACATAATCAATTAAACAATGCCAGTAAAACTCGGTAACAAATTACCCGTAATGTTATAACCGAAAGTGGTATTTTTGCTTGAGTCCAGTCAAAACTCTGACAAAGGAACAAAGGTCATGTATGAGATAAATCAACATAAATATGAATCCTGCAGCCATGATGGACAGAAGTAATATATGAACAACATATACAGATGACAGACTATGGTTAATATGAAGCAACTATTGTTTTCCAAGAAAAAAATGTTTGGTTTTATTTTGTAAAAGTGACGTTCCAAGAAAAAGTTACTCTTTTGTTGAAATTTGCTAATGCGGCGTTTACACAGTGCCGATTATGGCTCCCGATAGAGATCAGGCTTTTGGCAATTTTTAATCGGGAATGGTCCTATCAAGGACGGCAGTAAAGGGATGTTACAACCAATATACAACAATTTGTGTTAGCATTTGATTTTTTTTTATTTTGCACTAAGGGTCGAAATGACTTTAAAGATGTGTCAATAAAAAAATATATTTTTTTTAAAAAGAACTGAAAAAATATTTTTAATAATGCTTCCTAAGGCCAATTTTGAGATTATTAGCAATGGTGCATGGAAAAAGTATTTATTTCACTAGAGTTACAGGTTTTCTGTAACAAGTTTATCGTTTATCAAAATTGAAAAGACCTTACCTCAACATATTTTCTTCAATAATGTTAATAAACGAAATGAAAATGTAATGTATATGAACATATTTGGAGCTTTAGGAAATTTCATGTCAAGAACACATTTTGCCAAAAACAACCACCACCTTTTTTAACCCAACATTGCACTTTGGTCGCCTTAATATTCCCTTAATTCTAGAAATGTAATTTTCATAAAAGCCCTAACTATTACATTTAATATTGATATATTACATCTAAATAAAAAATCATCAAATAGACTCTAACCGATACAATTATGTATATCGCAAAAATAAAATCAATCATAATAATAATAATAATAATTCGAGTTTCTTATATACCGCTTTATCTGACTCTAGTTCTCAAAGCGGTTCACAAATTATTATCCGTGGCAATAGGGCCTTTGCAACAAGCCAATATAGTTCTCAACTCCCTGGGGAGCATACAGCCGGTGCTGCCATTTCGCGCTCACAGCTAGCATTCTACAATTCCAGCACTGCCCAACCACGTTCTCATTTACAGCTGAGTAGACTGGAACAAGCAGAGTAAAGTATCTTGCTCACTGATTCAACAAAGTGCCGTGCCATGACTCGAACCCGCCATCCTTCGGTTGTGAGTCCGGCGTCCTACCACTGGACTACTGTGCCTCCTCGACAGTGTTTCCTAATCAAAACCACCTCGATCAATGTAAATACAAACGTTTTTGATCCCTACCCATAATAATCTACAACAACAAAAACGGCAACAAAATCAACTACTACAACAACTACTACAACACAAACAACGACAACAATAACTACTACAACTACAACAACAGCAACAAAAACAACTACTACAACAGCAACAACAACAAATACAACCACAACAACCACAACACAAACAACAAAAACAACTACTACAACACAAACAACCACAACTACAACAACTACAACCACAACTACCAGAACAACAACAACTACAAAAACAACAACACAACAACTACAAAAACAACAACAACAACTATAACACAAACAACAACACAAACAACACCTACAACAACAACAACGGCAACAAAATCAACTACTACAACAACATCAACAACGACAACAGTACCCACAACAACACCAACGACAGCTGCAACAACAATAACCACAACAACAACAACTACTACAACAGCAACAACTACAACCACAACAACTACAAAAACAACAACAACACAAACAACAATAACAACAACTACAACACAAACAACAACAACTACAACAACAACTACAACAACAACTACTACAACAACAACAAGAACAACTACTACAACACAAACAGCAACAACAACAACAACTACAACACCAACAACAACTACAACTACAACAACAACAACAAAAACAACAACAACAACACAAACAACCACAACAACAACAACTACAACAACACAAACAACAACAACTACAACAACAACACCAACAACTACAACCCAAACAACAACAACAACACAAACAACCACAACAACAACAACTACAACAACAACACCAACAACTACAACCCAAACAACAACAACAACACAAACAACAACACAAACAACAACAACAACAACAACTACTACAACACAAACAACAACAACAACACAAACAACGACAACAACAACAACTACAACAACAACTACTACAACAACAACAACAACAACAACTACAACAACAACAACAACTACAACACAAACAACAACTACAACAACAACAACACAAACAACAACTACAACTACAACTACAAAAACAACAACAACACCAACAACAACAACAACACAAACAACAAGAACAACAACTACAACTACAACACAAACAACAACACAAACAACAAAAACAACAACAACAACAAAACAAACAACGACAACAACAACTACTACAACAACAACAACAACAACAACACAAACAACAAG